TTTTACCAACAGTATTTTTCGACACATACCTGTCCCAATTGCTTTGAAACTTATTTTTTGTTCAATTTCCGTCGAAATATTTCTTGCGACACGTTCGTGTCGAAAATTGACCAAAAAATCGACATGTTTGACCAAAAAATCGACCTGTATGTGTCGAAAATTACCGGCGGGTTTCAAAAAAAAAAACTTCAAAATCGACTTTGAAGCTCAAAAAAGACATCGATACTTACCTTAATGTTTTCTCCTTCCATATATACTACCATATTATTGTCTTATAATTCCATTTTATAAGTTTTGTGAGGTTTTAATTTCTTTAGTTTCGAGATTTTTTAGAAGAGTTTGTTGTGAGGAAGAAGAAGGAAGAGGTTGAGGGATTTGTGAAAAAGAATATGGGTTTGAAGGGTTTTGTGTGTTTGTATTGAAGAAAGAAAAATGAGATTTTTAATATTTGTATGGTATTTATTTACATTAAGGGTATTTATGTCATTACTTATTTATTATTCAATTTTTATTTTTTCGGTATTGAAGTGAGAAAATTTTGGGATTTGTTATAGTCATTCCCTTAAAAAAATGAGACAGGAGAAAAAACGGTCTATTCTATACTACACCCGGTTAAGTTCACCGGGTGTCTAAGATTTCGACATGTGGCAATTAGTAAATTAATTAGTTAATTATATATTTTTAATTATTGTGAAATTAATTATTAAAAGAATCACTTTAAAATAGGTAATTAGGATCCTCTCTTCAAATCTTTCCTATTTTTTCTCCAATTACTCCCGTAATCATACGTCTCTTTCCCCCACTACTGCACTTCTTCTTCTTCGTGGTTCGATTGATTTTTGGCTTTTGATTTTCTTTCTTCTGGCTTCCGCAAACGAAACTCTGCAACGAATCTCCAACTTTCCCTGGTAGGAGCAAATTAGCTCTATTATTCACGTAAAATGCAAGAAATTCTTTGTGATAAAACATGAGTGCAAGTTTATATATCTCACGCATATGCATTATGAAAGAATACCTATCATTAAATATCATAGATTTCAACACACCACTAATAAGTAAAGACATGTCAGATCATTGTTATGTAGTTATTGGATATACATGTACTATAAAATTATTAATTTTTATTTATTAAATTTGATTATATTTTTTGTTTACAGGTATGGAACAAAATTCATTATCCAACGACGATAATGCAAATTCCGGTTCAAAGGTACATAACAAATCTTTGATAGAAGAATTTGAGCATAAGTTAACAGTTGGGCAAATAGTAACAAGTCCTGAAAATGCATATCTATTATATTGTGAGTATGGGCGCATTAAAGGTTTTAGTGTGAGAAAAGGAAAACAAGAGTATTTTCATGATAATAGTAGAGAACTTTATATGAAGGAGTTTGAATGTTCTTGTAAAGGTACAAAGGATGAAAAACGTAGTAATAAAGGTAAACAACCAATATACTTAAAGATGGAAACGAGATTTGGTTGTAGAGCGAGGCTTAGAGTTGGAAGAAAAAAGAATGAAGAGTGGAAAGTTGTTATTTTTGACATTGAACATAATCATGACATGGTCGCACCTGACCAAAGTTATATGTTAAGATCGGCTCGTAATATTTCATATGTTAAAGGAGATACTTTAAAAGCACTGGTGGATGCTGGATTTTCAGTAGCTAACGCGTATTCTTATATGCAACAAGAATCACATGGGAGAGAAAATGTAGGTTTTGCTAAAAAAGATGCATATAATTATATTAATCGTTTAGCAAAAGATCACAAACAAGTTGATGATGGTGATGCTGCTGAACTAATTCGATATTTTAAGAATAAATCGAATGAAGATGCATTATTCTATTGGGATTTCCAGGTTGATGAAAACAATAGGATGTGTAACTTTTTTTTTAGAGATGGTCGGTGCCGCCTTGATTATGAAGTTTTTGGTGATGTTCTTTCAATTGATACAACTTATAAAACCAATAAATACAATTTGATTTGTGCACCTTTCACTGGCATTAATCATCATAAGAACAATGTGATGTTTGGGTTGGCTTTTATGTCAAATGAAACAGAGTCGTCTTTTCAATGGTTATTTAGTACGTTTCTTGAGTCTATGGGTGGTAAACAACCCGAAAGTGTCTTCACGGATCAATGTCAAGCAATGATGAATGCAGTTGAAATTGTATTTCCAAATTCGCTACATCGATTGTGTCAGTGGCATATATGTCAAAATGCTCCCTCGCATTTCGGTAGTTTAAATAATAATTCTGAGTTCAAGAATATGTTTTATAAGTGTATGGAATTTTGTGAATCTGAAGAAGAGTTCGAGAATGTATGGAGTAAAATGATCGCTGATTACAATCCGTATGACCATTCATGGTTGAACAACATGTACAAGTTGAGAAATAAGTGGTCTACGGCATTTAGTAAACATAGATTCAGTGCTGGACTTAAAGCTACTTCAAGAAGTGAGGGCACAAATTCTACTTTGAAAGTTGGTGGTAAAAGTACACATAGTTTGTTTGAGTGTGTTGTTCGATTCGAAAAAGTTCAGAACACGTGGCGTCAAGATGAAAGAGAAAATGACTTTAAATGCCGTCGTGGAATGCCGACACTTGTGGTAAAAACTAATTATTTACTGAGAGATGCAGCAGCAGTTTATACTCACACTATATATAACATGTTCCAATCAGAACTGTTAAATTCATTGGGGATCGATCTTGTTGGAGAGCCTTTACGTATTGATACTTTAATCCAGTTTAAAGTAAGATCACAAGGCAGTTCAGGTCAAGTTTGTAAAGTTGAGTTTTTTTTGGACTCGCATGAAGTAAATTGCAGTTGTCAACTATTTGAATCTGTTGGTATATTGTGCAAGCATGCATTGCTGGTTTTTAAAGAAATGAATGTGCATAAATTACCCACAAGGTACATAAAAGTGAGATGGACAAAAGGTGTAAGAGATGTAGTGCACTTCAACGATGAGAACTTATTTTCAAGTAACCAAGAATCTGATACAGTGTATGTAAATCATGCAATGAGATTTTGTTATGATCTTACGATGCGGAGCAAATTTCATCCAGAAGCTAGAGATTTAGTGAGAAGTGGGTTCGAGGGTGTCCTTTCGAATCTGAATTCATTACTTGATAAATTGGATTTGAGCAATACTCAAGCAGATATAGTGATAGACGGTTCTCAAGTTAAAAGTTCAGATGCTATGGAAGAACAAAGCGTTATAAACGATGAGCTTGTGAGGAATCCTCTTTATGTGAAGTCAAGAGGAGTGAATAATCTTCGTCTCCCAAGCCATTGGGATTTGAAAAGCAAAAGAGGAAAAACGAAAATTGAGTCTTCAAGTAAGTTTATCAAATATTTTATGTTGAATTTCTATTTTGTTGTGTTAATTATTTTTGTCATATCTTAGAAAGAGCAGCAAAATGCACAAAAAAGAAAGCTTAGACCTTTGAAAGAGCCGCTAATGTTCGACATTTACGATACACTGCTCATCCTTTCAGAGATATTTCAACTAGTTCTCAAGCTTGTGAACCTCGATCTGATTGGTTGCATCCTACGCAATATCCGACAATGCATGTGGTGAGCCATTTATTTAGTCTCTAATTATGATAAACATATTTGGCATCTTATAGTTTCTGTATTGGATATCTAGGAACAAGGTCAAGTTTTTAATTTTGGCCAAGGCCATCCTTCGCCTTACATGTATCAACATTGGGGTGTTAATATATCACAGGTATATGTATTATGCTATTTTGTTAGTTTTGGTATTTTAGTGAGATAATTGTTGATAAACTATATATACTTAACTTACTAACTAATTGTGTTTAATTTCTTCAGGGGTCTGTTAGCAACAAGGAGAGGGCCCCCAATTTTCACTAGGATATTTTCTTATCATAGTTTTTTATTATAGTTCAACAAGGTTATTTTAGTTTCAGACAGTTATTTTGTTGTTGGGAATTTGGAGAGAGTTTTGTTTTTACAATGTTAAACTTTTAATTTATCTAGTATATGGCAAACTTTGATGAGTAAACAGATGGCAATTCTATAGCTTCTGCAGATTCAATATTTAAATGAATATTATTCTTACAATTTTCTATGTTTCTGTTATATTAATTAGCTGTGAATGATTACATCCTTATTATTTGATTTGAACTACTGGGTACATATTCTGCCAATGTCAAGCTCATTTATTTGACTAGGTTTTGTACAATACTCAATACTCAATTGTCAAGCTTGTCTGTTTTTAGTTTAGACACAGTGAAAAAGTAATACAATTTATAGTTCTAACACCATAACTCTCTTCAAATATTAAAATCTTTAACAATGGGTACAAATGCAAAAGTTAAGGAAATTTCACAATGATCGTACAATTTGAGTACTTAATGTTCTAGATGCCCAACTCCGGTATAGAAGTTCAAATAAGGTTCTTCGATTTTTCACTTATTTAATTTCAGTTGCTAATGAACCATTTCGTCATCACGATTTCCAGCTCTGAAGTACTATAAGGTTCTTCAGACATCCATGACCTGCAAGTTGTTGATAATCGACCCGACTACCTCTGACCGCTCGATCGCAGGCGAGATCCACGCCGACGGCACCACCGGCGGTTGTTCCTCAGTCGACGCCCTCGTTTCGGCGGTGACCGTTGTGCCTGCCTCGCCGCACTCTCCATCTTCTGCCTTGCCGCACCCTCTATTTTCGTTGCAGAGTTTCGTTTACGGAAGCCAGAAGAAAGAAAATCAAAAGCCAAAAATCAATCGAACCACGAAGAAGAAGAATTGCAGTAGTGGGGGAAAGAGACGTATGATTACGGGAGTAATTGGAGAAAAAATAGGAAATATTTGAAGAGAGGATCCTAATTACCTATTTTAAAGTGATTCTTTTAATAATTAATTTCACAATAATTAAAAATATATAATTAACTAATTAATTTACTAATTGCCACATGTCGAAATCTTAGACACCCGGTGAACTTAACCGGGTGTAGCATAGAATAGACCAGAAAAAACAATTGCACTGCAAAATTGGATAAATACACTAAAACGACATCATTTTATAGTAGAATATGGGTAGATTACGGTCACCCCTGAAGTAGGGTCAAATTACGAAAAAAATTTATCATGTTTTGGTAATTACAACAACTATGATTTTTCTTACATATCTACCCTAACGATGTTAAATTTAGTAGAATCTTCTAGATTATGTAGAATATTCTTTAGTTTGTACCCGTTTTACCGCGTTCTAGCTCCATATTTTGAAGCAAATATGTCTCTTGATTTGTAAATATCATATTGTGGTACATCAAAAACTGTTTTTTTGCACAAAATGAATACAAATTGCAATGTATTGCACATAATCTAGAAGATTCAACAAAATTCGACATCAAATAGGTGAGCGTGTAAGAAAATTCACGGTTGAGGGGATTGATTATAAGGGTTTTTTTGTAATTTAACATTACCTCAAAGGTGACCGTAATTTACACAGTACAATATATGTATTTTTATTTTTTTTGTATAGCATGTTTGTTATAACGCCAATATTTATTTATTGTATACTTTTTTATTTTATTTTTTTGCAATCTAAGCATATGTAGTGGACAAGAGAAAATACATCAAGGATTCATAATTAACACAAGCAACAACATGCTTAAACCCAACACATGTTCAAAAAAGCAAATCTCTATTCCCCAACAATATATAGTTGTAGCAAATATTTTCTCCAAAATTTATATGGATACACCAAATTAAACAAATGAATGTTAGTTTCGTCTCATTTCCACCATCTTCGAACGGAAACGCTTTCAGCTTGTAGCAACTAAAGTAAACTCCGTTGAAATTACGGGCAAGGTGTAGATGCTTAGCGTTGTTCGTTGACCCGATTTGCTCATCTTCATTCAGGGCACAAATTGCCAATCTTGAAGGAAACCCCACATTGCAGATCATTTAAAATTAGTGACAACAGACTCGTAAGAATGAAATTCCGAGGATTTGAAACATTTACCTTTCACATTTCATCAAGATTTGTACGAAATAAATAGTCCTCGTTGTCTAATTCTTCATGGAAGAGAGATATAGATGGCAGGACTTCAATCTTTTCAGTATCTTCACTGTTATCCGATGATCTTTCGCCCTGCAACAAGATGATGGCTATTAATTACTATTCACGAGAGCTCGATTTTGGCGAGCATGTAGAAAAATACATCAACGACAAACCTTCTTCAGAATATAGAAGAAATAATGAAATCCATCGCCAAACGTTCTCCACTCAACTGACCACGTAAATGTGGGAGCGTTAAAAAAACGACGCCTGAAATGCGGCTGTAGAATAAAACAGTGAGATCTCAATCCATTTATATTCAAAAAAAAAAAAAAAAAAAAAGGTCTACCTGGCCAAAGGTGATGGAGATGAAAATGCCGTGGGGTTTAAGAACTCTATGAATACCTTCAAGCATTGCCATTACTCTGCTCACCGTTACAGGTTCTGGATTCCAAGGATCTCCCGAGTCCACAAACAATACATCCTTCATGTTCCAAATATCAAATACAGTTTATACATATACATAGAAAACGAAACCTACATTTCATTTATGGAGTAGCTGCTGAAGAACGAAGATAAGTGAGAGGTTTGTGGATACACTTCTTTGTACGGGAGTAGAGTAAAATTCGGAAGAAACGACGAAAATAGAAATGGGATGGAAATGAAAGTAGACGGAAGAGAAAAAAATCGGTGTCTTTACACTCATAATTAAGTATACAATTGACAGTAATCTATTTATTTTAACACTGAACGCTCCAGTTAGAGAGCTAACAGTATAGGTTATAATTTTACCATGGTTCCCTTCTCGATGACAACATCAAAACATTCATCTTCAAACGGCAAGTCTAACATGTCAGCTTCCAGCACTTTAATTCCTGGTAGCAGTAAAACGAACAGAAAAGAGAAAAAACGAACAGAGTCACATAGTCAGAATCAGGTTTTCTTTATTCCCACATGTTTAACTTAGTTGCGCAGCATAACTACTAGTAGACGTAAACACAGTACCCTCGTAAAAGATCTTCTCACAGAAGAACAATGAGAAAACAAATGCGTCTGCCACTGAATTTTAATAAACAGATTCCGATTGTGCCCAACTAAACTAAATAGCGAATAGCAAGTTTCCCGGTGGCTACCGATAGATTTGCTTAGTTTAGTTGCAATACACACACATACACATTTCACGATTATTTTTCCTCGGGTATATCCTTTATGTTTCAAATCCTTTACCGACAAATTGGGACAACATTACGAATTTTTTTGCTTTTTAAGAAATCATATCCCGATCAACTACATTACTCACTGACAACATACACATACATCGAAGAAGATTCAAACCTTTATAGCCCTTCGAAAGTAACCGTTTCTTCATCTTATCAACAGCCACAGACGACAAATCAATGCAGGTAAGTTCAGCGATTCCATCTCTATACAGTTCTTCGCACAGCTGAGAATTTCCACACCCCACCTCCAATACCTATTGATCAAAAATCCACATTCTATAATACATACACACACACACACACACAGAGAGAAAAAATCCGAAAAAACTCGAGGAATTTACAGCAGAGGTGGGCTGAATGTGTTCGAGTATGAGGTGACGGAAATGAGAATACTCTTTGAACCATTCGTAATGCTCTTCTTGAGCAAACCTCTGATCCCTGATAAAAAATTCAGGTCAGTGGCAATTAGGGGAAAAAATTATACAGAAATTGAGAAATTAGGGTTTTTTGCGGCTGACCAGTATTGGGGGTCGAGATACGCGGAAGCTGTAGCCGGAGCGACGTCGCATTTGGGGGCCGCCGGTGGATCCATATTTCGAAAAATTGGACACTTCCCGCCTTTGATTTTTCTTCGAAATTAGAGAGCGGATTGTTGAGAGAGAGAGAAACCCTAAAACCGTTAAACCAGTTGACTGTTAGTAGTTCCTATTTCTTGTTTATGATAATTGCTTTTGACACCCCTATTCTTTTGTTAATTACAAAATGGTACATAATTTTTTATAAACACTTCAAATTTGGGGTAGAAATTAGAACAAATTTGCAACTTTTGAACAATTTTCTCATTCCAATTTTTAAAATTTTGATTTTTTTAATTATTTTTCAGAATTTTTCGATCAAAATTGGATACCAGATTCCGATATTAATTTTCAAAAATAATTCCAAAAGTTGGTTCTGTTGTTATTTTTTTTAGGTCAAGTTTATTATTTGTCTCATATCATATATTATTATTTGTCTCATATCATATATTATAAGCGACTATAGTAGACTTCTGCTGCAATAAACTCGAGTTTTTCAAGCTCGAACTCGAGCCACCCCTTATTCATTACGAACATTTATTTCTTATTTTTGAACAAAAAACATTCCAAGACAAGAATATATACGTAGGCCACATTTCCCAATTTTTTTTTTTCTGTCCAAAGATTTTCACTAATTACATAATGATAGGAAGGGTATGAATGGAATTATTTATTTTAACAACAAATCATTCAGCAAAAGTTCAATGCATGTGTGATGCTGCTCCAAAAATGATGAGTCAGCCCAATGGTCTTGAAGCCCACAGGTCTTCTAAGTCCGGGAATCTTCAAGCCCAATATCGGGAATGCCGAGAGTCCTTGCCACGCGTCCGAGGTAGTCGAAGGGATCGCTCCACTCGTTAACCTACAAAACAGTTGAAAACACTAGGTGACACGCCGGGGGTGGCCCGGCGATTGTCCTCCGACGCTCAAGTCAGAAAACTATCACAATATAAGCAAATAATATTAGTTAATTGTCTAAATAGTGCTTCCCTTATTATATGAGTTAAATCACATATTTATAGGTGATGGAATATGGAGACTTCTTGTAGAAATCCGATGTGGGACAATATGTTATAACTAAAATCCTATTGAATTTTAGTAGATGTGATAATTGGGCTTTTATTATTAATTGGATTGATTTGGCCTTTTAGGCCAAAAACCCAATTAAGAATTAGGCACATCATTAAGCCCCCCACTCCCAGGTTGGGCCACGGCCTCGTGGACCTGCCTGGGAGTAAATAAGAAATGGTCGCTTGAATACGTATCTCCCCCTTTTTTTTTCTGTTAGGAGAAAATACCGAAATTGCATTTTATCTTTTTCGGAAAAAATTGCCAATGGCTAATTTGTTTTGGAAAATGCTTCGAGACTTCGTGAATTGGGAGTCCGTTTTTCTTCAAGAACGAGAACTTAATTTATCTTCCTTAATAGGTGATATCCCTTGGCTTTAGTGCTTAATCGGACTCGCGCATTTCCTAAAGAATGAGTTTTGCTTTATCTTTTCCGGTGAGACGGTATCCCTTGGCTATATTGCCTATTGAGAGGTTCGGCTCTCGTAAAGAATGAGCTTTACTTTATCTTTTTAGGTAAGACGGTATCCGTTGGCTTTAACGCCTAATGGGAAGTCCATTTTTGAAAAGAATGAGTTATGCTTCATCTTTTTCGGTGAGACGGTATCCCTTTGGCTATATCGCCTAGTAGGAGGCTCGACTCTCGTAAAGAATAAGCTTTTACTCTATCTTTTTTGGTAGGACGGTATCCGTTGGCTTTAACGCCTAATGGGAAGTCCATTTTTGAAAAGAATGAGTTATGCTTCATCTTTTTCGGTGAGACGGTATCCCTTTGGCTATATCGCCTAGTAGGAGGCTCGACTCTCATAAAGAATAAGCTTTTACTCTATCTTTTTTGGTAGGACGGTATCCGTTGGCTTTAACGCCTAATGGGAAGTCCGTATTTTTGTGAAGAATGAGCTATGCTTTATCTTTCTAGGTGAAACGGTACCCCTTGGCTTTATTGCCTAGTGGGGAGTCCGTATTTCTGTACTTGGCGGTTGATCAGACCCTCAAGTTTTTTATGTGGGAAGTCCGTTTGCCTAAGCGTTTTATACGAACTTTTATGGCAGATCAGACTTCATTGAGCTTTAGTTGCTCTATTTTTTGGAGCTCTGGGAGCGAGAAACCAAGGTTGGAGTTGGCCAGACCCTTTGTGATCCTTGATATCTTCCCATTTAGCTACTTTTGTTGATGTAGAAATTACGGCGGCGGTATCCCACCGGCTAAAATAGTTTATTAATAATCTTGCGGCTGGTAGTGTGCCGCCGATTTATTACATAATTGGAAATATTGAGCGGTGCGGTATGCTAGCGACTTATTACCTGATTGGAAATATTGCGCGGGACGATATGCCCCCGACTTATTGCTGAAAAGAAATTACATGGAGCCCGCGTGAGGCAATAATAAATATTAAGTAAAGTATTTCTTCAGGATTGCGATTGTTCTAGGAATTCGCTCAAGTGCCCATCTTGGAGAAGTCTCTTGAGTGATTGCTTAAGCTGAAAGCACTCCTCAGTAGTGTGACCCCGATCTCTGTGGTATTCACAGTAGTTATCCGACTTTTGTCTTTCTGGATTCTCATTCATCCTTTTCGGTGGTTGAAGAATACCCTTCTGCTCAGCGATGATCATAATGTCAAGAAGTTTATCCTTGAGGTGAGAACTTCCCGAAGGTGCGATTTTCGATGGGATGTCTCTCTTCTTCTCTATTACAGTTGTGGCTTTCCACCTCGCGCTTTCATTTAAGGGGTACTCTCATCTCCGTGATCTCCTCAATCCGTATGTACTTCCCAGCGCGGTTCAAGAGCTCCTCCAGGGTCTTAGGGGGTCGGCCCGTGATGGACTCTCGAAAACGAACATGCTTCAAATTTTGTTGTAGTATGCCGGCTAACATCTTGTGAGTAACGTGGCGCAATTCATGTACTGCTTTGACAAATCGTTGTATGTAATCTCTGAGTGGCTCTCCGTCTCGTTGTATGACCTTGAAGAGATACGATCCAGTTTTGGCATATTTCTTATTCATTGAGTCGTGGTTAAGGAAATGTCTCGCTAGTTGGTCCAGATTGTCTAAGGACCCTCCGGGCAAGCCGTTGAACCAAACTTGTGCGTGATCAGTCAGCGTAGTCTGAAAAATCTTGCAGTAAGCTGCGTTACTGAGGCCGTAGAGGTCAAGCTTGGCGTAAAAGTTATTTAAATGTTCTTGGGGATCTCCGGTCCCGTCAAATTGGGGTAGATTGGGGGATCATAAATCCGAGGGGTAAGACTTCTTCCATAATGGCAGGAACAAATGGGCTTATTCGAGCGGGGAATGTTTCAAAGCGAGCGGTCGTTGGCCTCGAAGCTTTTCGTCGAGGTCTCCTTGAGTTACGGTCATCAATGCCATCACGACTCATTTTCTTTTCAGATTGGGAATATCTACTTCCAAATTTATTTCCAATAGAGTCTCTATAGCGATAGGAGCGCTCGCTATTCCTGTTGTATCGTGATTCGTGGCGTGCCACACCCGGCCGAGAAGAAACACTTCTCTCTCGACGGCTATGCGCCGCTCTCTCCCTTGGAGGAGCCCTCTGCCTCAAGGGGCGTGGTGACCGGCGGCGAGCTTCTCTTCGAAGGGGGCGGTTCGATGATGGGTTGTGATGAGGCGATTGGTGGCGAGCGTATCTTCGAGGCTCACGATCTGAGGATGCGCTACACTGAGGCGAGTGGTGGTGAGCCTCTTCGAGGAGCTCGTTCAGAGAAATAACTTTGGCTGTCGAGCGATACTCTTTTAAGGCTTGTAATTCCTCTGCAGTCATCTAAATGACCGGCGCTGAAGATCCCGCAAGGTTGGCCGCTCCCGTCGTTCTCTCCCTTCGAGACGGCTCTATGACTCCAGCGTTACCTTGAAGTGGTTGGTTGAGATCGCCTTGACCACCTTCGTTGGCCGCTCCCGTAGTTCTTTTGGTTCGAGGCGGCTCTAAGACTCTACCGCTCTTCGGGGTGGCTCTGAGACTCCGTCGCTTCCTCGAGGCGGCTCTAAGACTCCTCCGCTCTTTGAGGCGGCTCTGAGACTCCGTCGCTTCCTCGAGGCGGTTCTAAGACTCTTTCGCTCTTCGGGGCGGCTCTGAGACTCCGTTGCTTCCTCGAGGCGGGCGGCTCTAAGACTCTTCCGCTCTTCGGGGCGGCTCTGAAACTTCGTCGCTTCCTCGAGGCGGGCGGCTCTAAGACTCTTCCGCTCTTCGGGGCGGCTCTGAGACTCCGTCGCTTCCTCGAGGCGGGCGGCTCTAAGACTCTTCCGCTCTTCAGGGCGGCTCCGAGACTCCGCCGCTTCCTCGAGGCGGGCGGCTCTAAGACTCTTCCGCTCTTCGGGGCGGCTCTGAGACTCCGTCGCTTCCTCGAGGCGGGCGGCTCTAAGACTCTTCCACTCTTCGGGGCGGCTCTGAGACTACGTCGCTTCATTGAGGCGGCCCTAAGACTCCTCCGCTCTTCTAGGCGGCTCTGAGACTCCGTCGCTTCTTCGAGGCGGGCGGCTCTAAGACTCTTCCGCTCTTCGGGGCGGCTCTGAGACTCCGTCGCTTCCTCGAGGCGGCTCTAAGACTCTTCCGCTCTTCGGGGCGGCTCCGAGACTCCGTCGCTTCCTCGAGGCGGGCGGCTCTAAGACTCTTCCGCTCTTCGGGGCGGCTCTGAGACTCCGTCGCTTCCTCGGGGCGGGCGGCTCTAAGACTCTTCCGCTCTTCGGGGCGGCTCTGAGACTCCGTCGCTTCATCGAGGCGGCCCTAAGACTCCTCCGCTCTTCGGGGCGGCTCTGAGACTCCGTCGCTTCATCGAGGCGGCCCTAAGACTCCTCCGCTCTTCGAGGCGAGTGGTTGGGATCGCCTTGATCCTCTTCGTCATGACACGTGATCTAGTTTGCCTTCCCACAGACGGCGCCAAAATGATGTTGCTCCAAAAATGATGAGTCAGCCCAATGGTCTTGAAGCCCACAGGTCTTCTAAGTCCGGGAATCTTCAAGCCCAATATCGGGAATGCCGAGAGTCCTTGCCACGCGTCCGAGGTAGTCGAAGGGATCGCTCCACTCGTTAACCTACAAAACAGTTGAAAACACTAGGTGACACGCCGGGGGTGGCCCGGCGATTGTCCTCCGACGCTCAAGTCAGAAAACTATCACAATATAAGCAAATAATATTAGTTAATTGTCTAAATAGTGCTTCCCTTATTATATGAGTTAAATCACATATTTATAGGTGATGGAATATGGAGACTTCTTGTAGAAATCCGATGTGGGACAATATGTTATAACTAAAATCCTATTGAATTTTAGTAGATGTGATAATTGGGCTTTTATTATTAATTGGATTTGATTTGGCCTTTTAGGCCAAAAACCCAATTAAGAATTAGGCACATCAATGTGAAAGAAGAATGTAGACCTTTCATAGAAGGTTCACTTTTCGATCAATAATTCGCTTACAAATTATACCCAATTATTCCATGTATGTATGTATTCTGGGTGGTATAATGACACACAGTAGTGTGTGTGAAATACTACTACATATATTTTACATAGATAGATAGATGTGAGGCAAACCGATACAACACTTGACTAAAAACCGCGATTTAAGCCAATTGCAATGCTTCGTCGCGTTTTATGTCGAAAACCTTTACAAGGACATCTTCAACAACCTGGATAAAGAGACCATTTCAGACAAAGGAAATCATAATTGCGCTCGAAAAAAAAAGTTGAAAGTAAAAAAAACAAGAAGTAAGAAGAATCACCTTATCGGGAGTGGATGCACCAGAAGTTATGCCGATTGTGATGGGACCCTCTGGTAGCCAATTCTCTTTCTCCACCAACTCACCGTGCTGGATTATAATATTTTATATTATCAAATTCAAATTGTGTTTGCATAAACATAGAATTGAATCGATATAAGGTAAGAGAAAAAGCATACCATTAACTTGTAACTAATTTTATTTCCGGGGCCTATTCTTTTCTCACTGTCGACCCAATAAGATGGAATATTACGCTCCTCTGCAATTTCTTGTAGGTGAGAAGTGTTGCTGGAGTTCCAACCTCCGACAACTAGCATCAGATCTATCTTTTCATCGACCAGTTTATACATCGCATCTTGCCTTTCCTGAAAATAACAAGCAGGGTCAAATATGACGTAAAATGTACTGTAGACAAGAGTTTGGCTTTGTTCCTTTCCGAAAGGAGAAATGTGTGTGTGTGTGTGTGTGTGTGCGCGTGTGTGTGTGTGCGCGTGTGTGTGACAGGAGAGCACAAATCTTGGCAGGAAAATGTGAGAAATTGAATTTGGAGATTTTTTTTTTACTTGAGTTGCATCGCAAATAGTGTTGAAACTCATGAAGTGGTTGTTAACATTTTCGACCCCGTACTTTTGCATCATGGTCCTATCAACTAATTTTCCTGCAGAAACGAAAAAAAAAGAAAAAAAAAAAAAAACACAATCAGTAATACAAATTGCATATCGCAAACATATCGAGAAAGATGCTGTGTATAGGGTTACTATATACTAACCAATATCCTCTGTTTCTCCCTTCAACATAGTAGTCTGATTCGCAATACCAACTTTTATAAGATCTTGGTCTGGATCGAACCCCTTGGACACGGCAAGTTTAAATTTCTGCAATACGAAATATCACATAAAATTTCACCATACGTAGATTCCAAAGTTAAGAGCAAGATATTAAACCTACCTCCAAAAATGCCTCTTTAGTTGAGCTGGATCCATCGAGTCCACCGCCCAAGATATAATCACATACATATGTTGCCTGCAATACCGCACTATCATTTCTTACTAAAATATAAATATTTAATTGTACGTAAAAGTTGGAACGGAACAGAAAATAAAAAGAAATACCTCTTTCATGTTCTTTACAATGATATACTTCCCTGCAAAAGAGGCAGTGGCCACAGTCTCTTCATGAGAGTATTTACCATGGATAATCGAAGTATACTCTCCCTTCTTGTGCTTTTCAACGGAAGTCCAAACCTAATTAACAAGAACTCGTAATTCTTATTACACAAGAAAGTACTTACTTACAAAATTATGTTTGGACGAAAGCTTGAAAAGTACCTTTGTTACCCACTGGCAAGTTGTATCAACTATTTGAACATTCTTATCACTCAATATCAACATTTCGTCCACAGCAGCTCCAAAAGCAGGCAAAATGACGACATCGCCCGTCTCAACAACATCAAACTGTTTCTTCCCATCGTCAATGGGAATCCTTTTCACTTCCATCTCTTCAAGTTTCTGTTGAACACAAAGTTTAACTATCAAATCAATGCTAATGATTGAAGTTTGCTTCTTCCCATGATTGATTAATTTATCAAACCAAAAAACAAAAAAAAATCTGCAAAGAATATATGATAACGAAAGTGAATTATGAACTAAAGAAACCTGATTAACAGTGGGGTTGTGAATAATTTCATTAGTGATCCAAATCTTCTCGGAGGGGAACTGTTTCCTCGCTTCATAAGCAATCTGTACAGCATGCTCAACCCCCCAACAAAATCCATAAGATTCGGCGAGCTTCACCGTAACATTTTCCCATGTGTATTCAAACCCATTCTCCTTCAATGTCTTGATAATATCACCTGAGATACTCCAGTGACAGGCAGACATTTAAGCATAACGAAGAATAATCAAAATCGTCAAAAGTCAGCAACACTATAAATACACATGTGTGTGTAACTACATCAGATCTTACCCAATACTTCAAATATACAATAATCACACTATGCATTCACTTTTTTTTTACAATTAACATGTATCAAAAGCAAAAGAGCGATAAATTAAGACTGTGCGGTCGAGCGGTGATCAAATACGAGTATACTTCTACATAGTACGGTAAAAGTTAAGGGCTGGGGTTCAAAAGAAATTTGATTGCAGCAATTGTTAAATCTAACTCAAATTAGAAAAAAAAACACGAAAAATCAACGAATTGGTTTATGGAGGATGAAAGATTTGTTAGCTCAGCAAAAAACCAAAAAAAAAAAAAAACAAATAAATCAATGAGACTAAGGTGTCAGTCACTCAAACTGAAATCTACTTCAGACAAAATGAAAATTTCCTCAATTAAATATCAACGATCCAATTTTCCAATTTCCACCAAAAATAGTAAGAATTTCAAAATCGCAAAAAAAAAATGAAAAATTGAAAAATCATAGAGGCATACTTGTATACTCCTGGTTCATCAGCTCAAGAGTTTCCTTTTTATGTCCAAAACCCCTGCGATTGTAATTCTCACTCCTCGTCAAGTTGTGGCGAAAAACCTTCGCGTCGAACTCAGAAGAAGAATCAGCTTCTCCTGCGGCGGAGCATCGGACGGAGGACGGCTTTCGTTGCCAGACTATTCCTGTTTCCGGCAAGGAGAGCTCGGCACGTGCAGTGATACGGCAGAATTGCAGAGAAATCGCCATGAGGGAGGGAAGTTTGGTAGCGCGAATAGGAATTTGTGAGTTTTGGTATGTTTAAGCAATGTGACTGATCAAAAAAAAAAACTGCATTTATTTATTTGTTTATTATTACTATTTATTAATTTAAAAGTCTTCCCTTAATTGTTTGAACGGAATAATTAATGTATTTTGTCTATTTGATTAGGTGGTGAATTTTCTTGGATTTTGACGTTGTGCTGTAAGAAAGATCCTCTGCTGTTGTATATTTGATGCTGATTAGTGATTTTACTACTACTTAAACTAAATTAAAGTTATATTGAGTTATTAAAAGGTTGAAAATTTCATTAAATTATTACATAAGTCACAATTTATACTTTCTTTAAAGTCGTAGTTGGGGATGATTTGATATTTGAACAAATCATAAGATTATGTATATTTTTCAACTTGTTTGATTTTTTAAAGTTTAACTTATAGGTGTATTATATGTTTTTGAAATTAAATTTATGTGATCATTAATTCAATGAGAAAGAATTTTAGTTTTTAATTTTAAGAAATTAAAAAAATCACCCACCAAGTATATATAGATCAATGTTTCAAAAATCCACATTCTATAATACATACACACACACACACACACACACACACACACACACACACACACACACAAAAATCGGAAAAAACTCACAGGAATTTACAGAATGTGTTCAAGTATGAGGTGATGGAAATGAGAATACTGTTTGAACCACTCGTAATGCTCTTCTCGAGCAAACCTCTGGTCCCTGATTACAAATTTAGGTCAGTGGCAATTAGGGGAAAAAATTATACAGAAATTGAGAAATTAGGGTTTTTTGCGGCTGACCGGTATTGGGGGTCGAGATACGCGGAAGCTGTGGCCGGAGCGACGTCGCATTTGGGGGCCGCCGGTGGATCCATGTTTCGAAAAATTGAACACTTCTCGCGTTTGATTTTTCTTCGGAATTAGAGAGCGGATTGTTGAGAGAGAAAAACCCTGAAACCGTTAAACCAGTTGACTGATGGTAGTTCCTATTTCTTGTTTATGGGAATTACTTTTGATACCCCTATTCTTTTGTTAATTACAAAATGGTACACTTTTTTATAAACACTTCAAATTTGGGGTAGAAATTAGAACAAATTTGTAACTTTTGAACAATTTTCTCATCCCAATTTTTAAAATTTTGATTTTTTCTTTTCAGAATTTTTTTCATCGAAAATGGAATTATATACTAGTGTCCGATTTTAATTTTCAAAAATAACTCCAAAAGTTAGTTTTTTTTTTTAATTATTTATTTTATATCATAGGTGGATAATGCTCATAGTTGCTGCTCATAATATATTCTCTATGTGACTACTAGACTTCTGCTGCAATGAACTCGAGTTTTTCAAGCTCGAACTCAAGCCACCCTTATTTATTACGAACATATATTTCTTATTTTTGAACAAAAAACATTCCAAGTCAAAATACAAAAACTTTTTTTTTTACAGCAAATGAATGCGAAACACAATCGTCAAATACGATGAAACGAAGAATCACAAAATAGTGCAATCACATATATTATACCCCAAAAACTCCAGCCGCCCGTACTCTGAACTGCTTCGTCTCTTTAAACATCATTATTCTTCGAATTCAAACCTATTTCTGAGAAAAAACGGGAGAACTCGGTGGCTTCAAATCTTCATACCTGCATATAAAAAAAAACGAAGTAATTATTGCTTGTCATTTTCTTTCTTTCTTATTTTTTTGTCCGGAAAAAATAGCTCAATGTCGTAATTAATGTTGGAAGCAAGAATGAATATACTTACATAGTGTAAGGTGAAAGGGGTGTCGACTTTGGTTCCTCCGTAACCGGATTTTCGGGTTTATCGTCTTCGGAAAAAGCTGGCACACTAGGCGATGGTGATGACGGTGGTTTGAGGTCATCGTATCTGAGAAACAAATAAAATATTTATGGAGAAAGTAATAAATTGATTTTTATTTTTAACAATAAATCGATTTATCAACTTACGCGAGATACGGAGATTGAACAGAAGCTGCTACACTTATTGTCTCGTTTTTCTCGGAATCTGTACTCTCATCACTCGTTAACGACACTTCTTGCGTAGAAGCTTCGGTAATAGAAGGTTCTTTTTTGGAACCACTGGCTGTTGGCGTAGGTGAGGTAGGTGGTTTCAGGTCTTCGTAACTGCCAAACAAATCGATTGTTCAAACTCTCGATTTATTACAAGCCACTTTTTTCCAAAGGGAAAAAAAAATAAATGAACTTACTTAATGTATGGTGATGAAGCATGTGCTTTCTTTGGTGAGGACTCGAGTTTTACATCTTCCTTAATGGCAATAATCGGCTTTTTCAAAGAATCGACTTCAGCAGATGACGAGGTGGAACTATTTTCAGACAGTGTGATGTTTATATTAGTAGCTTCTTTCGAAGAAGGACTAATGCTCGGAGTTGGAGTTGGAGAAGTTGGCGGCTTTAAATCCTCGTAGCTACAAGACGAACAATATACGCGGATTATTTTAAGATATTTTATCTTCAGATAAATCAGTTCCAAAAAAAAAAAACGAACGAGCTTACTTAATGTATGGAGAAGAGGGATTCGTTTTCTTTGGTGGAATCTGAGGAATTACATCGTTGATCGAAATAGTTGCTGTTTCCGAAGAATCGACTTCAATAGACGAAGAGGTGGAAATTGTTTCACTAGGCGCGATCTCTGTTTTACTAACTATGGTTGAATCGGAACCCGTACTCGGTGTCGGAGTCGGAGAAGTTGGTGGCTTTAAATCTTCATATCTACAAAAAAAATAAAAAATAAAATAAAATAAAAATAAAAAAAGATAATGTACGAAATTTCGAAACAAGAAGATGGATTTTTTTATTAAAAATCGAAAGATTGCAACTCACGCAGAATACGGGGATGAAGATGATGTTGTTTCGGGTTTTTTAACTTGCTCGGGTTTTTTTACTTGCTCGGGTTCTTCTTTGCTGTCTGGAGCAATAGGCTTCGATACTTCTGCGGCATCTGATTCCTAATATCCATTTAGAAAATAATAAATTAGATAATAATAATAATAATTGCATTTCACTCGCAAAGTCGTAAGTCGTAATCATATAATAATAATTACCTTGAAAGTGTAAACTTGTTCTCTCTGAGAAGGTATCGTTTTCAGAAGCTCTCCTGCAGGAGTCAAAGGAGCCGTAGTTTCCGCAATTACTTCCACAACTTTACAGTACGAAAGGCTTCGGTTTTTTGCCATGAACGCCATTAATTCCGCTACCTATTATTATTAATAATAATCAGGAATAAAATTCATTGCATTATATCGAAAATTCATAATGTGTGTTGGTAAAAACGTTGACCGAAAAATTTACCTGCAGATTCGAAACTTGACCGCCAAACAAAGTATCCTCTTCCGATAATGTAATGTTATGCGTTTCCTTGTAAGAATCCGTCGGCCGCTCCATCCCACCAGGCCTCACTATCTACAATAATATTTACGAGCAAAATTGAAATTAAAATAAATTCGTCGTATAAACGGAAATACTAAATTAGGTGATGTCTGAAAAAAACAACTCACTGTATAAGGAAGACCGCTTGCAAGAAGTGCTTCCTCTGCTTTTCTTTTCCATATAAGCACTCCCCAGAACAAACTTTTTTTCCGCAGAAACACAAATTAGACGATAATTAAATAAGAAAATTGCATCCATAATTACATTATTATTATTATTTATTATAGTGAAACGAAATTGCAGAAGGCCTTACTTCAAGATAGCAGCAGGAAATCCAATTTTATTTGTTCCCAAAGATGTGAGCAAAATGAAATGTTCGACTTTCGCCGAAGTTGCTGCATATAAGATGTACGTTATTGTAGCCTTTCTTTACATATTAAAAAAATTGACAATAAAAATAAAATAAAATAAAAATTACTATACCTGCATCGATTAGGTTTTTGGTTGCCTGAAAATCAATTCGGTAGGGTCCACTAATATCGAAGATCTCCTTCTCACTAGCACCAATGCAGCATATGACAATCGAAGAATTTCCCAGGGCTGGTTTTATCCGATCCAAATTCTCCAGGTCACACTCGACGAGTTCAAACTTATCTGTAGCTGGGCTAAAATACCGAACAACTATAAACAATCTTCCCAACTTATTACATACAACTTCTGTATTTGCTATAATTTAGGATTTAAAGTAAGTAAGAAAGCTCTGAATCTTACATTGAGCGCCTCCGGTCAAATCTTCAAGCTTCATGTTCTGAACACTCTGTTTTAACGAGACGAATAACAAATTATCGTCGTAAATTATCCGTTCGTATAACGACATTTCATATCAACAAATAATTAAATAATTTTGATTCGTACTTGCACAAGGGATTCGGCTCGTTGAATACTCCGAACACCAGCTCGAACTTTAAACCCTAATTTTAAAAGCTCCCTGCAAGAAACTTGGGATTATTTTTAGCAACTCTGGATCAGTCTAATAATAATTACTAATCTACATACACACACACGCACACACACACACACACACGTAGCACCTCACGGTTCGTGATCCGACTTTGCCGGTAGCTCCAGCAACAAAGACGAGATTCTCGTCTTTTTGGGTACCGTTGCTTGAAGCAGTAGCAGCATCTTGTGCCTGTGATTTGATTTTGGAGGTTTCTTTACACAAGAGAAGAAGAGTAAATCAAAAGTCAGGAGATACACACAATTATTAAGCATTATAAAACATTTAATTAATCAAGGTGTTTAAGCAATGATAGCTAACAGTAACACCCCAATGTGGGATTCTCAATCCCCAATTCTCGTGTATTAGGTCAACTTCTAGAAAACCCAAATTCTCACTCCATAACCTTAAACACCATTGTTAAAATACATACCTGATTTTCGAGCTCTGAAATCAAGAAATTTAAGCCGCCTGGCAGCAAATGGGGAGAAGCTTCTGTTATTACAACAGGGAAACTTGACAATGGTATGCCCAAATGAAAAGGGCTTCTCTAACAGCACGCTTCGAGGAATGCTGCTCACTGTTGGAGCCTGCATGCATCGGAGCTCCATTGTTCGGGGGTGGGTGGGGGTTGTCGAGAAAAATAACAGTTATCTTGCAGAATTTAGTTAAAGCTTTCTTGTTGTGTAATGGGCATGTGAATTGTGATCCATATCCAAGACATTGCACCACATGTCTTGACGTTTCGGTCCCATCAAAGCTACTGTAAGAGAAATTTGCGGCCACATATTTCCTTTTTTTTTTCTTTTTTTTTTTGGTCCAAAGATTTTCACTAATTACATAATGATAAGAGAAGGGTATGTATGGAATTAGATATTTATTTTATCAAGAATCATGGTGGGCATTCTCCAATCAAATCTCTGCTCAGACTTCAACTATATTTTGAGCACATTTAGCAACAAATGCGCATGCCAATGCATCTGAAAGAAAGAATGTAGACCTTTTATAGAAGGTTCACTTTTCAATCAATAATTCGCTTACAAATTATACCCAACATTCCAGATATGTATGTATGTATTCTGGGTGGTATGATGAAATACTATTACATACATTTTACATAGATAGATGTAAGGCAGACCGATACAACACTTGACTAAAAACCGCGATTTAAGCCAATTGCAATGCTTCGTCGCGTTTTATGTCGAAAACCTTTACAAGGACATCTTCTACAACCTGGATAACGAGACCATTTCAAACAAATGAAATCACAGTTGCGCTCGGATTAAAAAAAAAAACACAAGAAGTAAGAAGAATCACCTTATCGGGAGTGGATGCACCAGAAGTTATGCCGATTGTGATGGGACCCTCTGGTAGCCAGTTCTCTTTCTCCACCAACTCACCGTGCTGGATTATAATATTTTATATTATCAAATTCAAATTGTGTTTGCATAAACATAGAATTGAATCGATATAAGGTAAGAGAAAAAGCATACCATTAACTTGTAACTAATTTTATTTCCGGGGCCTATTCTTTTCTCACTGTCGACCCAATAAGATGGAATATTACGCTCCTCTGCAATTTCTTGTAGGTGAGAAGTGTTGCTAGAGTTCCAACCTCCGACAACTAGCATCAGATCTATCTTTTCATCGACCAGTTTATACATCGCATCTTGCCTTTCCTGAAAATAACAAGTAGGGGGTCGAATACGAAGTAAAATGTACTGAATTGAATAGCTCGTAGACAAGAGTTTGGCTTTTTTGAATTTGCTATGATAAGAAATATAGGATAGAACCCTTTCAGAGACGAGAAATGTGTGTGTGTGTGTGTGTGTGTGTGTGTGTGTGTGTGTGTGTGTGTGTGTGTGTGTGTGTGTGTGTGTGTGTGACAGGAGAGCACAAATCTTGGGAGGAAAATGTGAGAAATTGAATTTGGAGAACAAAAAAATTACTTGAGTTGCATCGCAAATAGTGTTGAAACTCATGAAGTGGTTGTTAACATTTTCGACCCCGTACTTTTGCATCATGGTCCTCTCAACTAATTTTCCTGCAGAACGAAAAAAAACCCCATCAGTAATGCAAATTGCATATCGCGAACATATCGAGAAAAATGCTATGTATAGGGTTACTATGTAAATACCAATATCCTCTGTTTCTCCCTTCAACATAGTAGTTTGATTTGCGATACCAACTTTTATAAGATCTTGGTCTGGATCGAACCCCTTAGACACGGCAAGTTTAAATATCTGCAATAGGAAATATCACATGAAATTTCAGCATAAGTAGATTCCACAGTTAAGAGCAAAGATACTTAAACCTACCTCCAAAAATGCCTCTTTAGTTGAGCTGGATCCATCAAGTCCACCGCCCAAGATATAATCACATACATATGTTGCCTGCAATACCGCACAATCATTTTTTACTAAAATATAAATATTTAATTGCACGTAAAAGTTGAAACGAAGCAGAAAATAAAAAAGAAATACCTCTTTCATGTTCTTTACAATGATATACTTCCCTGCAAAAGAGGCAGTAGCCACAGTCTCTTCATGAGAGTATTTACCGTGGATAATCGAAGTATGCTCTCCCTTCTTGTGCTTTTCAACGGAAGTCCAAACCTAATTAACAAGAACTCGTAATTCTTATTACACAAGAACGTACTTACTTACAAAATTATGTTTGGATGAAAGCTTGAAAAGTACCTTCGATACCCAGGGGCAAGTTGTATCAACTATTTGAACATTCTTGTCACTCAATATCAACATCTCGTCTACAGCAGCTCCAAAAGCAGGCAAAACGACGACGTCGCCCTTCTCAACAACATCAAATTGTTTTTTCCCATCGTCAATGGGAATATTTTTCACTTCCATCTCTTCAAGTTTCTGTTGAACACGAAGTTTAGTTATCTAATCAATGCTAATGATTGAAGTTTGCTTCTTCCCATGATTGATTAATTTATCAAACCAAATAAAAAATTATGCAAAGAATATATGATAACGAAAGTGAATTATGAACTAAAGAAACCTGATTAACAGTGGGGTTGTGAATAATTTCATTAGTGATCCAAATCTTCTCGGAGGGGAACTGTTTTCTGGCTTCATAAGCAATCTGTACAGCACGCTCAACCCCCCAACAAAATCCATAAGATTCGGCGAGCTTCACCGTAACATTTCCCCATGTGTATTCAAACCCATTCTCCTTCAATGTCTTGATAATGTCACCTATTCAAACATAAAGAACCATAATCAAAATCGTCAAAAGTCACCGACACTATAAATGCATATGTGTGTGTAACTATATCAGATATTACATAATACTTCAACAATACAATGATCACAGTATGTATCGAAAGCAGAAGCGCGATAAATTAAGACCGTGAGGACGAGCAGTGATCAAATACGTGCATACTTCTACATATTTCTGTAAAAGTTAGTTAAGGACTGAGGTTCAAAAGAAATTTGATTGCAGCAATTGTGAATCTAACTCAAATTATAAAAATGAAAACCAGCAAAAAAATCAACAAGTTCTAAGTTCAAACTGATCCTCTTTGCCTTCAAAAAATCAAAAAAATTCTAAGTTCAAACTGATCCTCTTTGCCTTAAAATCCAGTAATAAGTATTAAGAACATAGATTCGCTAACAATTCTAAATCCATGATATAAACATAAAACATTTAGAATAGGATGAAGTCAACCGTAAAGATTAAAATTAGCAACAATATTTTTTCGAGACTAAGGTATCAGTCACTCAAACTGAAATCTACTTCCAACAAAATGAAAAAAATTCTACAATTAAATATCGACGATCCAATTTTCCAATTTCCACCAAAAATAGTAAGAAATTCAAAATCGCAAAAAAAAAAATGAAAAATTGAAAAATCATAGAGGCATACTTGTATACTCCTGGCTCATCCGCTCAAGAGTTTCCTTTTTATGGCCAAAACCCCTGCGATTGTAATTCTCACTCCTCGTCAAATTGTGACGGAAAACCTTCGCGTCGAACTCAGAAGATTCGGTGGTGGCCGAAGACGACGACGAAGAAGCAGCTTCTCCTGCGGCGGAGCATCGGACGGAGGACGGCTTTCGTTGCCGGAATATTCTGGTTTCCGGCAAGGAGAGCTCGGCACGTGCGGAGATACGACAGAATTGCAGAGAAATCGCCATGAGGGAGGGAAGTTTGGCCCAGGGCGCACGTTAGCACGGATAGGAATTTGTGAGTTTGGCAATGTGACTGATGGATGCGCAATTTATCCATCAACTGCATTTATTCATTCATTTGTTTATTATTACTATTTATTAATTTAAAAGTCTTCCCTTAATTGTTTGAAGGGAATATTTAATGTATTTTGGCTATTTGATTAGGTGGTTAATTTTCTTGGATTTTGACGTTGTGCTGTAAGAAAGATCCTCTCTTGTTGTATATTTGATGCTTGCTGATTTGTGATTATCCAACTAGTTAAATGAAATTAAAATTATATTGTGTTATTAAAAGGTTGAAAATTTCATTAAATTATTACATGTCACAAGTCAAAAAAATGTGTATATTTCAATTTTATTGACTTTTAGGTGTATTATATGTTTGTGAAATTAAATTTATGTGATCATTAATTCAACGAGAAAATATTTTAGTTTTTAATATATAAAAAAATCTTTTAAAAGTGTTGGTTTTAAATAATCACCAACTTATCACACATACACATGTATGTGTGTTATTATATATAGATTAATAGTTTAAAATCACCCCATGTATTGCATCAGGTGTAACATTTATAAAACCGTGACGTAACTGTAGCTACATACAAATAGAATGCTATAAAAGTATAGACACAATTGAAAATTTTAAAAGCCCATGGACCAACCCTATATATTAAGAAGATTTAGGCCTGTAAAATTAAATTTCAATAAATATTATGTAAATTATTGAAACTGGCCAAGATGCTGACTCGTCATTGTATATTATTTTCCGGTCTATTCTATGATACATCGGGTGAGATACACCGGGTAGATCTTTACCATTCATATACACACAAACACCCACACACCCACATTGGTGTGTATAGACCAACAGTAAAAAAACACCCGGTGTAGTTTTCACCGACTGCCAATAAATAATTTTAAATTCAAAAATATGTTCTAACTTCTACCCCTAACCAAAATCTAGTATGAATAGATCTCTAATATACAAAGAATCGAACTCGTAGACAAGTTTTACCGTTTAACGGTACTCGATTTTCTTAATACTTGAATCTTGATTGTCTGAAATAATTCCATTTTCTGCACTCTCATCTCGAGGCAATGGTGTTGCACCGTAAGTATTCACCCTCTCCTCCGCCAGCAAAGCCTGCATTCGGACAAGAACTTCGTTCAGAATTTTACACGTAAAAAATCAGTTTCAAAATACTAAAAAGTTATTTTATATGAACTTATACGAACCTCTTCACTCCAATTAGCTCGAAGCACAAAGATAGTTAATATCACCGTTTGTAGTAAACAACCAGCTAACATCCCTAACCAAATCCCTTTAACACCAAGATCAAGTTTATAACCGAGCAATGCACCAAACGGAAGGCCAAAAATGTAATAACACCCGATGTTTATTAATGCTACAGATAATTGCCATCCTGCCCCTACTGCCACCCCTGAAAAATTCAAATAAAATTCAATTTTTCACGACAAAAAATCGTACGTTTAGTTCACATATATACCAAAAAAAAAAAACGAACACAATATTAAATACTTAAAAATTTACCGTGGAGTACTGGTTGAACGCTGTTGAGGAATATTGTTGCTGCTAAGAAATATCCCAATTTGGAGGTTTCTTTTATGACTTCGTCTTTATTGGAAAATAATATCGGAAAATAGTCCCGAGTTGCAAGAATTGCTGCAGTGAATATAACTCCGAAAATAAGTGATGTAACCACAGTTACTAGTACTGAGAATTTCGCGGCTTTCGGATTATTAGCTCCAAGTTCATTCGAAACACGAACACTGCAAATCATTAAAAAAAATTTACAAGTTTGATCAAATATTTCAATTTTGACATAAACATCTTCGACGTGTACAAAGTTACGAACCTGATTGCAGCATTGAACCCCAACGCAATCATTAAAGTCCAAAGCTCCAAATTCATACTGTCAAATTCAACCAATGTAAGAGGCGAAAAACATAAATTAATTAACAAAAAAAAAACCGTAAAAAAAAGAACGCGTTAAAGGGGCAAAAACTAACCAAATCGAAATCGCATCCACAGCAATTTCTGGATTCTTTAACCAACCAACCATAAGTATCACCAAAGTATAATACCATAACTCCAAACTGAAAAAAACAAACGACGCGGTTATAGAATCAATTATGGTTAAGAGGCTTATTTCAACAATTCATCGGTAGTACTTACCAAAGCATAATAGCCGAAGCAAGCGACAACTTCACGAAACTATAAAGCGATTTAAAAGCCAATAAAGAAAATCCAGTCCAAGATTCCGGAAAAAAACCCGAAACCACGTAAATAATCTGCCCTATAACCACAAGCCACCATGATATATTCTCAGCTATAGCAGCACCGAGAAGACCTTTCTCGAATTTCACCACAAGTATCCAATTCAAAAGAACATGAAATCCCAAAACAAATATAGATATACTAGTCATAACCCATATTTTGCTCTGCGCTTGTAGAAACTTCTGCACCGGGAAATTCAGCGCGTAGGCGAACAACTGAGGAACAACCCAAAGAGCGTACTTCCCGGCCATTTCGGAGATTTTCTTGTCCTGACGGAGGAGATTTAGTATCGGCGTAGTGAAGATGTAGAGTGGCAATAGCAACAACGATGTGGCGAGAGTGATAACGCACGATCTCTGCGTGTAGATTCCGAGCATATCGTACTGGCCTGCGCCCACTGCTTGCCCGCAGAGTGTTTCGAGTGCGCTTCCCATTCCTAGCTAGACATTTATACAAACACCTTGCGATCATGCTTCCATAAATAGCAGAATTCATTGCGATCAATTGAGCACTCACCATTATGCCGAAGACGAATCCCTCGAGCACATTCTGCACAACGGAAACGGCAGCGAGTTCAACTTCTCCGAGATGGCCGACGAATGCAACGGTGACGAATCCGATTGAGAATTGAGTGACGATTGTGAGAATTGCTGGTAACGCGATTTCCCACAGCTTCTTCGATTCTTCCCATGTTCTTGAGCACGTTTTCTCGTGTTCTTGGTGTACTTGTTCGATTTCAAAGGTTGATGATTTGGGCTCCATTTTCTGCAGCAAATGCTGGCTTTCTTTGTTCTGTTTCATAGTGTCTGTATGTATGTATGTATGTATATATTTGTTGTATCAAGAACACTGTACAAATATGGCAATGTCACACTTGACTTTTTTGGCAGGGAATTTTTTTTTTCTGGGAAGGGACAAATGGCATTATATACTACGAATCATTAGGTAGTGATTAGTTGGCTGGCACCGATTTTTTTTTCAATTTTTTTTTTTTTTTTTTTGAATTGTTGAATTTTGGTATTTTTGTTTTTGTTCTGATATTATTAATGTTTTCTTGCCGTAAATACATGATGATGTTTGTGATTTTTTCTACAGCTAGGACCTTAATTATTGGTTTTGAAAATAGTGGCACTAATCGTCAGTCTTGCAATTAAAAAAAAATGGATAATTGGTTTCTTAAAATCGTGTTTTCCCCATTATTGGAAATGTTTATCACGATTTATGGTTTATTTTTATGGTTGGTAATTTATTGGGATCCATGAAAGTGGGGAAGATGTGCTCGTTGCATAACCACGACACGTCTTTTTAACGTTTTATATTATAATAATTAAAAAGTGTGGTTGGTGAAATCGCAAAAGCAATATTTGACTTTCTTTCTTATGGGAAATCCCCCCGGCCCCACCTAATCATCTCTCTCTCTCTCACACACACCGCACACGCTAGAAAAGAAGAGAGAAGATTATGTTCTGTGAGACTGTAATTAGCGTTAATCAATCTTCTTACTCCTTAATTATTATTTTACCTGATTCCCTATTAATTAATATAGTATGTCCTTTAATTTTCTGTGCATGCATGCATGCACCAACAAGTTGGTACAACAAATTCAAAATACTGCTAATACAGTCAACTAACTTTTGCATAAAATCTCCAGTAATGCACTTACTCTCAACCCACAACTTCCCCATCAATTCCAAACCCTTTTGCATATATATATATATATATATATATATATATATATATATATATATATATATATATATATATATATATATATATACAGAGGCGGATCTAGACAACATTTGAAGGGATAGGCGATTTTTTTAGGAAAAAATATATCCAACGGGAGGTTATAATTTTGGAGATTTCAGGGGCAGCGCCCCGAATTTTTTTTCGGGTTATTCACAAAATATTGCTAAAATAAGTATATATTTATAATTTTGAAGTAAATATATATATTTTAGTAGTTGTATTTTATATTGTAATAACAAATAGAGGGAGAATATATAAAATTACATAAAAGAATAGAGAAGATAATTAAATAGGGGAGGGGGGCAAAAACACATATTTGTGATATATTATGCCAAAAAGCA